AGTCCTCATCTGATGCCCTGCCGGCACTGCTTCCGGCCATCCTTAACCCCGATTCAGGGTCCACTCTGTGTGGACATGCTAGTTCGAATTAGCAAAACACTAATTCGAACTAGTTTTTTAGTCTGGATGCGTTAGTTCAAATTAGCTTAGTTCGAATTAACTAATTCGAACTAAGTTAGTTCGAATTAGCGCTGTAGTGTAGATATACCCTCAGTGCAATTAACCATTGTCATAATTCACCAAGGTTCATTGTGAATTTGTTTCTCCATCACTGACAATTTTTCTGAAAGATCTGCTTTAGGAGTTATTTTGAATTAAAGAACTCTTCTTATAAGGCACTTCTTAAAATTCTTTAACCATTCTTGTGGATCTACTCCTGAACCCCTCTCCAGTTTATCAAAATTCCCCTTGAATTAGGCACAACAAAACTGGACACAATATTCCAGAAGCGATCATGACAGGCCCAAATATGGAGGTAAAATGAGCTCTCTAGTCCACTTAGCATTCCCTTGTTCACGTACCCCACGCTCACATTGGGTGTGTGTACACTGCACCATTTTTCCACAATAATGGCCAGACATAGATGCTTCCGGTGCAGTGAAAAGAGATAATGATTTCCACCAGGTTGAGTGAGAGGAAAATGAGTTTGTTTTATTGTAGTGCAGTCACTCCTCATTCACACCATGATCATGTGAACAGATTCATCTCCATTTCTTCTAATTCTAGAGTCTCAGAGTTGGCAGAGACCCCAGGAGTCATCAAGTCCAGATCCCTGCCCAAAGCAAGACCAACCCCAATTCAAACATCCCAGCCAGGGCTTTGTCACGCCGGGACTTAAAAACCTCATTCATCCCCTCAACCAGGACATTAATAAAGATGTTTAACAAAACTGGCCCTCAAACTGATCCTTTGGGGCACTCTGCTTGAAACGGACCGCCAACCACACATAGAGCCATTGATCACTACCCATTGGGCCCAACTATCTAGCCAGCTTTCTATCCACATTACAGTCCATTTATCCAATCCATACTCCTTCAGCTTGCTGGCAAGAGTCCTGTGGGGAACCGTATAGAAAGCTATTCAGTAGACTATAAGGCCCAGGCAGCCTTTTACTCACATGCATTTCCTTCAGCTTATATCAAGGAAACACATCTCTCTCATGAATTTTCATGGGAAAATGTCAGTGAAGGAATGTCTTCTGCAGGCGACCCAGGGAGCTTGGCTGACCATAGAATCCTAGAATCCCAGGGTCAGAAGACACCTCAGGAGTCATCGAGTCCAGCCCCCTGACCAAAGCAGGACCAACCCTAACTCAATCATCCCAGACAGGGTGTTGTCGAGCTGGGACTTAAACACCTCTAGGGATGGAGATTCCACCTTTTCCCTAGGGAACCCAGCCCAGTGCTTCCCCAGCCGCCTAGGGAAATAGTTTGTCCAAATATCCAAACTAGGCCTCCCACCCTGCAACTTGAGACCATTGCTCCTTGTTCTGTCATCTGTCCCCACTGAGAACAGCCTCTCTCCAGACTCTTTGGAACTCCCCTTCAGGGAGCGAAAGGCTGCTCTCAAATCCCCCCTCACTCTTCTCTTCTGGAGTCTAAATAAACCCAAATCCCTCTGCCTCTCCTCGTAGGTCATGTGCTCCAGCCCCCTCATCATTTTGGTTTCCCTCTGCTGGATCCTCTCCAGCGTGTCCACATCCTTTCTGTAGTGGGGCCCCCAGAACTGGATGCAATACTCCAGATGTGGCCTCACCAGAGCTGAGTAAAGGGGAATAATCACTTCTCTAGATCTGCTGGCAATGCTCCTCCTAACGCACCCCAACATGCCATTAGCCTTCTTGGCTACAAAGGCGCCCTGTTGACTCATCTCCAGCTGCTCATCCACTGTAATCTCCAGGTCCTTTTCTGCAGAACTGCTGCTTAGCCAGTCGGTCCCCAGCCTGTAACACTGCTTGGGATTCTTCCATCCCAAGGGCAGGACCCTGCACTTGTCCTTGTTGAACCTCATCAGATGTCTTTTGGCCCAAACCTCCCATTTGTCTAGGTTACTCTGGACCCTTTCCCTGACCGCCAACTATCTACCTCTCCCCCATGCCAGATGCGTCACTTCATATGCTCACTTACTTCTCTCAACTATGTTTATATTTTCTTTCCTCCTTGGCAAGGAAGAGGACTCATCACTGGGGTGGGCACGAGTAAATAATTAAGTTATTTCACATAAGGGCTTTCCCCTGTGACTGTGATTATAACTGGGGTTGACCACTGCGGAGGCGGGATCTCCATCCCCAGTTCATAGATATTCCTCCATCGCCCAGTTTAGTTATTTATTTATTTAAAATTCTCAGGCAATAGGATTCCTACCACACGGCACTGTGTACCTCTCGCAAACCCTCCCCACCCATATATTTATCTTCCAGTGCCAGTGGCATTGTGTGCCCCTTCGATCTCGCCTCATCCATTCTAGGGCCCTTCATGCTCCCCCCATGCCAGGGTCTTTTTGTGACCCTCCCGTTTCTACTCTACCGAGACCATCTATCTCAGCTGGGACCCTGTGTATCCCCCATTTCCAATGCAGGTGGGCCTGTCCTTCCCTACTTGTGTTTCTAAACCACTTCCTTACTGGACAGCAGAGACTTTTCCATTCAAATATTTATTTATTTAAATCCCCATTTATCCATCCAAAGGAAATTAATTGGCAGAACCTCATTGACATCAAAGGACTTTGGACTCAATCCTTTGGACCAATAATCTTCCTTTTCGGTAACACTCAGTAAAATGGATGATTTCCATGGAATCTAGGACTTTTCTTCTCCTATCTTCAGTTAGAAATGTAAGGTTAAATATTTGAGGTGAAAAGTTCTCCTCGTTCCATTGCAAGGCCATTGAAGTTGGATGTTTGACTCACTAATTTTTCATGTCTCAAGCATAAATGTATAAGTTCTTTTCTCGTTCAGGCAATTTCGAATTCTCATCAGCAGAAATGTCAAGGGACATGTGAATCTCCTCACAAGAAGGCGGAAGTGAGTGGCATGTTACTTTTAGGGAAAGCATAAAAGCAAAATCAGCCAAGATAGAAAACAGAGGTGGGAGGGCAGGCAGTTTTCTCTATTGTTCTCTTTGTTGAGTGCATTTTAGTTTGCCGATTTGAAAGGAAAGGAGGAGAGAAGACAGAGCCTCGGCATGAGATTCTGAGTGAAGAAGGCATCTGAAAATTTACAGCTGGCCACAATGTTATAGGTAAAGCAGCTTTATTCTCTTTCCAGTTGAAATGATATACTTTGCTTTAGAGCAGGAAGCAAAATACCTGCTCTGCTCTGCTCTGCTACAAAGAATGTGATTGCTCTGTTGACAATGGGGGACAATGGGTGGATGAAAGAGGAATGTTAGAGGGGATACAGCAAGCTGCATTTAAGGAAAAACCAAAGGCTAGACCTCATCCTCACTGGTTCTCTGTTATTTCTGTTAGATTATGTCTACACTACAAAGAAAAGTTGGAAAAAGATACACAAATTGTGTATCTTTCTCTGCTTTTCTTTCGAAAAAGACTTTTCTGAAATTTGGTGCATCTATACAATGCCAAATTTTGGAAAAACCTCCTCTTTCGACACATCCCTTCTTCCTCATAAAATGAGGTTCACAGGGATGGTAAAAGAGCACGTCTGCTTTTCTTATTTTTTTTTTTGGAAAAGTGGAATCATTCCTTGGACACAGTACAACTTTTCTGGGATACCTCCAGTATCTCAGAAAACAGCTGCAGACTAGAGGTAGCCTTAGTTACACGAACATCACGTTTCTCCTCAAAAGATCGACATCTATCAGGAATGATGTAGATGGTGTTTCCAGAACTAAGCTACCCTTAGAGTTAGAATTGTTTCCCCTGATGTCTAACCTAAACTTCCCTTGCTCTAGATTAAGTGCATTACTTTTCATCATACCTTTCTGTGGGGAGGAGAAAAATCGATCATTGTACTTCATTATGCCACACAATATTTATAATCGTTCTTAACATAGTTGTACAATACTATCAGCCCCCTCCCCCCAGCCTGCTTTTCTCAGGACTAAACATGCATGTGTTTTAACCTTGTCTGGCAAGTCAAGTTTTCTAAACATTTTGTCATTGTTGTTGCTCTCCTCTGGATTCTCTGCAATTTTTTGACATCCTTTCTAAAGTGGGCTGCTCAGAATTGGATGCAGTTGAGGACAATGACCTCTTGTGTGTTTTAATTCAACACTCTCCTTCACACAAACCAAAAATGACATTTATCTTTTTAGTGCCTTCGCATTCTCATTGAATATTCAGTTTACAATCCACTAGAACCCCCAGATCCATTTCAAGACACCACCAGCAACTAGCCATATAGTCCTCGTCGTATAGTTTTGCATTGTTTTTTTTCCCCTACGTGAATTTCCCTCTGTTGATCCAGAAAAAAATCTCCAGTTGTCATAATGGTTTTGATTTTGAAAGAAAGATGGGGATGGGGGGGTTGGGGATGGCTAGATTGATAAATGGTACAGAAGTACAATGAATTAGATGGTGCTTGGTCCTGCCATGAGGACAGGGAACTGGACTCGATGACCTCTTGAGGTCCCTTCCAGTTCTAGTGTTCTGTGATTCTATGATTCTATAGATGAGGTGTGTGGAAACAGACAGACAGACAGACAGACAGACAGACAGATAGATAGATAACTTATCTTGTCTCCTCATCTAAGCCAATGTAAGAACAAAATATTGGGCGTGGTTTAGAACATTCATGGTATTAATTGATGGGTTAGAGTTTCTCTTAGATTTGATGATAATATGTATTCTTTTTCGTAGGCCTAGACAAAATTGATGGCAGACCCAAAACAGGAGAATGTCACTTCTATCAAACAGCTCATCCTCTTGGGATTTGGGGACCTCACTGAACTGCAGCCCCTTCTCTTCCTGCTATTTCTATTGATCTACATGGCGACCATGGCTGGGAACCTTCTCATTGTATTATTAGTTGTAGCCGATCGGCACCTTCACACCCCCATGTACTTCTTCCTGGAGAACTTGTCCTGCTTGGAGAGCTGCTACAGCTCCACCATCCTGCCTAGAATGCTAGCCAGTCTCCTGACAGGGAACAGGACCATCTCTGTCAGTGGCTGTATTGCCCAATTTTATTTCTTTGGTTTCCTACTGACTGTGGAGTGTTATCTCCTATCTGCGATGTCTTATGATCGTTACTTGGCCATATGTAAACCACTCAATTATGCATCCATCATGAATAATGTCATTTGCAGACAACTAGCTGCTGGATCTTGGATAACCGGCATCTTAGTTAGTGCCATCATCATATTTTTCATGTCACAATTAACATTCTGTGGGCCGAGTGTCATCGACCATTTCTTTTGCGATTTCACCCCCATGATAAAACTGTCCTGCAGCGACACCCACCTGATGGAACTCATCACATTCATGCTGACATTTATCACCACCTTGCCCCCGTTTCTGCTAACCCTGGCATCGTACGTGTGCATTATCTCCACCATCCTGGGAATCCCTTCCACCAATGGGAGGCAAAAGGCCTTTTCCACCTGCTCCTCCCACCTCATGGTGGTGACACTTTTCTACGGGGCCATAATGATTGTGTACATGCTCCCCAAAACCGGCACCCTGCGAGCGCTGAACAAAGTGTTCTCTCTCTTGTACACGGTCCTGACGCCCCTGGTCAACCCGCTCATCTACAGCCTGAGAAACAAAGATGTGAAGGAGGCCCTGAGAAAAGCTGTCCAAAGATGCTTGCCTTGCCCAAGAATGTAGCACTTTCGGCTGAATGTTGTGAGATTCAAATGAAATTCAGGTAATGTGGGATGATTTACTCAGTCAGGGTACGTCTAGACTACATGGCTCCATCGATGGAGCCATGTAGATTTGTTTGTTCGGCAAAGGGAAATGAAGCCGCGATTTAAATAATTGGGCCTTAATTTAAATTGAAATGGCTGCCCCGCTCTGCCGATCAACTGTTTGTCGGCAGATCAGGGCAGTCTGGACGCTCCCCTGTCAACATGAAAGCCCTTTATCGATCTCCCTGGTAAACCTCATCCTATGAGGCATAACGGGGAGGTCGATAAAAGGTTTTCAGGTCGGCACGGGAGCATCCAGACTAGCGTGCTGAGCCGACATACAGCTGATCAGCTGTTTATTGGCTCAGCGCGGCCAATTATTTAAATCGCGGCTTCATTTCCCTCTGCCGATCGGCCTAATCTACATGGCTCCATCAATGGAGCCATGTAGTTTAGACACACCCTCAGAGATGCAATCGGTTTGGTTTGTAATGGGTCATCTTTAGGTAGGGGGTGGAAGTAAGAGTGAAAACGGGTTGAAAAACCTACTTCTGACATTTTACCGTTATCAATTATGAGCTTTAAAAATTGTGTATAATTTCAAGAACATTTCCACAATATTAAAGCAATTAGATCAGCTTGGGTGGGGTGTGTGTGGGGGAGGAGGGGAGTATCAGCGCCAGGTGCTTTTTCTTGCCTAGTTTTACAAATGGAGCGGATAAGAAAATTCCAGTAATAATTAATGTAAAACAAACTTTTTCCCCCTTGATGTCACTGATCCTTTTGCTGCTTTTTTTAATAATACACAAATACATTCCCCTTTTGAAAATGAAACTTTTTTTTTTCAGGGAAACAAATTGATTTTCAGTGAAAATATTTTGCTTAACAAATAGATTATTTTAAAACCAATATTCTGTAGGAAATGAAAATTGAACATTAACAAGAATAATTTCTCTTTTGATTTTGTTGGTTTTGGTTGTTGGAAAAGAATACAGGCAGTCCCCGGGTTACATGGATCCGACTTACATTGGATCCCTACTTACAAACGGGGTGAGGCAACCCCTCAAATCCCGGGCTTCATTAGCAAGTGCGGTATGCATACATTACCCCGCTAGTTCGAACTAGCGGGGTAGTGTAGACATGGACTGAGGGAAGTGAGGTGTGGGAGAATAAAACTGAGCTCTGGAGAAATGTTTGGCTAGAGTTTCCCCTACTATATGTGCCAGTTCCGACTTACGTACAAATTCAACTTAAGAACAAACCTACAGTCCCTATCTTGTACGTAACCCGGGGACTGCCTGTAAATCATGAAAACACGAAGAGAAATATTTTTAGTCTAAAAAACATTGTTCACCATGAAATGACTTACCAAAAAAGGTTAATTTTGACTTAAATTTACTTCTTGTGTACAACATTTCACAGCAGTGTGAGAAATTTGGGCCAGTGATGTGGTTAACACAAATTCCCTCTTTCTAGTTACACAAAAACCACTTTTGAAACTACGCACTGAGGAGAGTGACTTTTTCTGCTGATTACTTTCTCCCGAGACTGGACAGAAGTAATCAGTCTACTCTATATATGGAAATATTTGTCTGTCTGCCTGTTCAAGGGGGAGGTTTAGATTGGAGATTAGGAGAACTATTTCCCTAGGAGGGTGGAGAAACACGGGGAGGGGTTACCTAAGCTGGTCATGGAATCTCCATCCCTAGAGGTTTTTAAGTCTCATCCTGACACAGCCCTGGCTGGGTTGATTTAGTTGGGATTGATCCTCCTTTGTGCAGGGGGCTGGACTTGAAGACTCCTGAGATCTCTGCCAGCTCTGGGATTCTAGGATTCTAAGAACTCCCCCTAAACTGTAAGAGCTAGGACTACTGAATTTGGCACACAGCTTCCTCTTACCATACCTTACAGCAAAGTGAGGGTGTGGTTGGGCCCAGAAAATGGGATTGCCTCTCAGAAAATTCTATAGAAAAGAGACAGAATCACCAAGCAGGTGAAAGTGGTTGGCTGGGGGTGCTCCCCCTATTCTGGGACTGTCCCAGCCCCAATCCTTCCCCACCCCAGGCACACTTTAGGGAGGGTGAGGACGCTGACTCCCCCCAATTCATACAGGCTGTTCCCCCTTGTCAGAGGGTCTGGTCCCTTTGAGAGTCAGTCACTACATTAATGGAACAATTATAGAATCAAAGAATCATAGAGCTGGAAGAGACCTCAGGAGGCCATCAAGTCCAGCCCCCTGCCCAAGGCAGGACCAATCCCAACTCAATCACCCCAGACAGGGCTTTGTTAAGCCGGGACTTAAACACCTCTAGGGATGGAGATTCCATCCCCTCCCTAGGGAACCCAGCCCAGAGCTTCCCCACCCACCTAGGGAAATAGTTTTTCCTAATCTCCAACCTAGACCTCTCCCCACTGCAACTTGAGACCATTGCTCCTTGTTCTGCATCCGTCACTACTTCCCTTCAGGAAGTTGAAGGCTGCTCTCAAATCCCCCCTCGCTCTTCTCTTCTCCAGACTAAACAGACCCAAGTCCCTCAGCCTCTCCTCTTAGGTCATGTGCTCCAGCCCCCTTATCATTTTGATTGACCTCTGCTGGACCGTCTCCAGTGTGTCCACATCCTTTCTATATTGGAGGCCCCAGAACTGGATGCAATGCTCCAGATGGGGCCTCAACAGTGCAGAATAAAGGGGAATAATCACTTCTCTATATTCAATGGTTCAGCTCGTCTCTAGACCAGGGTGAGGTTGACTGAAACAGGTCATGCAAATTTTCACAGGGGTGCTCAGGGAGTTGGTTGATGTGATTCCCCAGCCATTGGCCATTATCTTTGAAAACTCGTGGAAGTCGGGAGAGGTCCTGGATGATTGGAAAAAGGCAAATGTAGTGCTCATCTTTAAAGAAGGGAAGAAGGACAATCCAGGGAATGACAGACCAGTCGGTCTTACCTCAGTCCCTGGAAAAATCATGGGGAGTATCGCCGACAGAAAATTTGGCGTTACAGTGAGCCCTCGCTACTTCGCGGTTCGACCATCGCGGATTCACGACTTCGCGGACTTTTTTCCCAGCCTCAGAAACAACGTTTTTCCGCCAGCAAAGGATGGTTCCTGAAATCCAATGCCTAACTGTACTGGCCTTGCTCAGCCAAAAAAATCTTGTATTGACATCCATGTGAAATTTGCCTGAGGTGAGGGCTGCAGATGTGAACTTCATAATTGATTGCAGCATTTAATATGGTGTCCCTACTTCGCGGATTTTCAGCTACCGCGATAAACGAGGGTTCACTGTATACAACTGTAACTCTGCTGACCACTCTGCTCTGGTGAGCAGTGAAGAACAGTCTTCTAGGCCCTTAATAAAGATCCATCAGGCCAACTGCTTGTGTATGTATCTGATGTCAAGACAGAAAGAGATAAGCAGGACCCTTGTGAGTCAGCATGCTCACACTGTCGCTCTTAGGAGTAGTTAGAATATAGATTGTGTTATAAAGAAAATATAAGGAACGAATTAAAAGTTTGTACTAGGAGAAGATTTGTCTTAGAAGCTAGGTTGATACCTTTTGTATGGAGAGTTGTGTCCCTTCTCCCATGTGTGAGCTGATTGTGTAGTTCCTGGAGAGGGGGTGTGAATAGAATGTGCATGTTTGGAGGGAAAATGACTTGTAGACCCAACAGTTCAGAGTCCAGACAGTGGAAAAGAGGAGGCAGCTGGAAGACTCAGAGCCATCAAGTTACCATAAATTGGGACCAATAAAAAGCAGACTAACAGAAGACACATGGACAGCCTTGGAGTGTTAAGAAGCAAGCTCTCTGTTACAAACAAGACAGCCTTGAAACAACACTGGGAAGATGACACCAACATTCTGATATCAGTATAAACTCCCAGATAAACAGATATTAAGCAGAACGGAGGGTGATGGATTAAGAGCTGATGAAGCAAACTGCATAGGCCTGAATGGGAGAAAAGTCCTATAAAAGATGGGGCATCTCATACAAATCTCCAGGTCTTGTCTTGTCAACACTGGAGTGTTGTTCCAGACCAAGAGAAGCCTTCACGCCTCGCTCTTGCATTTAACTTGCCTGGCCAGTAAGTTAATGTGAGCAACAGACAGGAAATTTTAAGCAACAACAAGACTTTGTGTGTGGCGGGGGGGAGGGGTTGTCTTTATGAAACATATATTAACTGTTTTTCAGCTGCTTTCTCAATAAATGTAGCATATTGCCTTTTCTCCTGAAAAAGATCCCATGTGCTTCTTATAAGCATAACATTATTAGTGGAGACTTGTGAAAGGAGGTAGCATACACTGTTGTTCTTGAGAACCAATGTAAAAGAAGACAGTACTGCAGAAATGGTTTTGGGATATTGTCGTAATCAATCATTAGGGTATGTATACCTGCAGTGGTAGAAGGCCAGGTAAAGAGGTGAGGATAATTAGATTTCTCACTCCCCTGGTTGTAGAATTGCCGGCACTAGAAAGAAGAGAGGAGAATTCGATTTCTCGTTCCAGGAAAAGAGGAATTGTCTTAAAGGTATATACACCATCGGTCATAGGATGGTTGATTAAGGAGAGGCATTTAGTATTCCACTTTCCAACTCGGCAAATTGGAGAATAGTTGGATATTTTAAAGGGGTCTATACCCTCGGTCATAGCAGGGCTGAGCCCAAAATGCTAAATGGTAAAAATGCTAAAAAGGAAAAGTGTTATAGAAAAAGAATTCTTGGTTTTTTTGCAGCCTTTCTAAAGGAAAAATGGGCCCTTTTCCTGAGGAATGTCTGTAAATAATCCAGGCAAAGAGCCAATATGATTTAAATATTTGACTATGGACACTTTAAATCTCCTAAAATTTCCTAAAAGAAAATAAGGGGTTCTATTGGAACTTAACAGCTCGAATGCATGAGAGGAAATGCAATTTCTTCGGGCTGCCTTTTCGTGGGCATTAATGCCTGCGATTAACACAGGGCAGAATTAACACGTTAAA